AAGCAATTGTACCGATTAGTAAAAAGCGCTGACTGGTCTCCAAACATTTCTGTGAACTGGGCAACAGTGTCATCAAAGCTGAAATCATGGGCGCCCTTTGCAAAACTGCCTATGCACCTACAAACTGTATCGCTGACTCGGTAAAAGACAACTTCTATCGTCAGCTGAACGAGCTCCTTCGCCACAGAAGAGGCACGAATACTGTAGTGATGGCTGGGTATCTGAACGCTCATGTTGGAAAATTGTCCACTGATAAACTGCATCTGGGTGGCCAACACGGTGTAGGCTCCCATAATGATAACGGTGAGCGGTTACTTCATTTGTTTGAGAATACTCGCTTACTTCTTGCGTGCACTAATTTCCGACACAGCACCCGCCGGAGGGTGACTTGGCGCCCACCAGCCTCGAACCGGAAATGGACACAAATCGTTCACATTGCGATAAGTTACCGCTGGAGAGGTTGTGTCCAGAACTGTCGCTCGACTTGGAGCACAGGTGTGGACACCTACCATGCACTTGTGTGTGCTGACCTGCGGATGCGTTTTGGCTTACGCCCACGACGACGCTCTGAGCACATTGACACCGGCCAACTGACAAAGACAGATGTTCTGAATGCGTATCGAAGTGCGCTGATATGCGAGTTGAGTAAGCGCTCACTGGATGCAGTTGAAGCTCACTGGTCTCATATTCACCAGTCCTTACTAGCAACAAGCAAATCCTCATGTGGTAAGTCTAATCGCCAACATGGACATTGGGACTCTTCGTAGTCTCTGGAACTTATCGATGTTCGCCGGCATATTCCGACTGGAAGTGAACACAATGAAACTCGCAAAGAGCTCCGGGCAAAACTCCGTGCTATCCTGAAGAGAGACTACTTATCCTGGTGGTCTCATCGTGCATCAGAGATGGAAATAGCCGCTTCCCTTGGTAACCATCGTAAGTTATTCCGGCTGATGCGGGAAACGGGCAACAGGAGACCTGGTGTTAGTGAAACTATACGTGACGAGAGTGGACAGCCTAACCACAACTTGTCAAAGGGTTTAGAGCGTTGGGCTGAACACTTTGAAAGGCAATTTAATCGGTCGGAATTGTTAGATTTCTCGCCGGCCACTTATTGCCCCGCTCCCTGGGCTGTCCCTTTGGATCTACCCTCTCGCTCAGAAGTCGAACGTGAGATCTCACTGTTGAAGTTAAATAAAGCCGCATGACCAGCTGAGCTATCTCCAGCCATCTTCAAATTCGGGGGATCCGCTCTCGTGGATGATTTATAGGAGTTACTAGTGAAACTGTGGGAGCAGGAAACTGTCCCAACCGACTGGAGCCGCTTCGTCATAGTCCCAATTTTCAAGGGAGGCTCACGATCTGAATGCGGTAACCATAGAGGAACCAGTCTGATCTCCATCGCCTCCAAATTGCTTGCCTCTGTCATCCTTCACAGACTGACTGGCACGCGTGAAAGTCATATTCGTGAAGAGCAAGCCGGGTTTCGCCGAGGTCGTGGCTGCATTGATCACATCTTCACTTTGCGCAGTTGTTGGAGCACCGTCAGATATATCGACGGCCCACTGTTGTCGTGTTCCTCGATATCAAAGGTGCCTTCGATTCGGTGGATAGACGTGCACTTTGGGACTGTCTACTCAGGAAAGGTGTACCTGAGAAATATGTAAATATTATCCGATCATTATACACGCGTCGTTCAGGCAGAGTGATGGCTTTCGACACGCTGTCGTCGCCCTTTGATATCTCCAGCGGTGTGAAACAAGGATGCCCGCTCTCAGCTTTTCTCTTCAACTTCACTGTTGACGAAGCCATGGATATCGCGTTCACAGGACACGACTTAGACGGTGTGGATCTGCTCCTAGGTAAATGACTTCTTGACTTGGAGTATGCTGATGATATTGCCCTAATCTGTGACAGTTCCTAGGCTGAGCCTTGGTGGGGATCAGCTAGAAGTCGTTCAAAAATTCAACTACCTGGGAAGTTATGTCAGCGCCCGTGGGATTGAGGATGAGATCACGAACCGTGTAGCAAAAGCTCGACGCGCTTTTTCTAACCTTCGCCACCTATGGCGCCGGAGCGGCATTACTCTCGCCCTGAAGGGAAGAGTGTACAATGCAGCAGTACGTACGACCCTATTGTACGGTTGTGAAACCTGGCCCCTTAAGTCAGCGGACCTGAAGAGGCTAGTTACGTTCGACCACCGTTGCCTTCGCAAATTAGCTCACATCCATTGGGAACATCACATGAGCAACGTGCGTGTTCGACGTCTTGTTTACGGCACAAGAATAGGAAATGAACCGCTCAGCACCGTTATTTCACGCACCGGGCTCCGATGGTTCGGCCACGTGTTGCGTGTGCCAGTCCACCGGCTCCCGCGACGTGCGTTGTTTGCACGCCGGGGTGTGGATAGAAGAAGAGGAGAGGTGTCCAAGAGATGAGTTGGTCGAGAGTAATGAAGGCCCTCACTTCTGAGCTGGCCTCGGTTGGAGCGTCACGGCTCCCTGGTTGGGGTCCGAAAGACGAAGAACACGTTTGGTTGGACGCACTTGCTGATATGGCAAGGAGCCGACCTCATTGGCGTTCGTGCTGTGAGTTTCTTTTTCCCACCCACCCTTCCTAGCCTCCCCCTCCAACCACGATTTCATTAGTTAGCCTTATATAATTTTGCATAGTAAATAATTTTTTTCTGCTGCATAGTAGCCGGCTGGTAGCCTACCGGAACGATGCCATCCGTTTCCGGTAGCTCAGTTGACTTGCAACTTGCATTTTATTCCTTTTTTTCTTTTCTATATTGCGGCACAGTAGCTGAGGTGCTTCCCACCTCTGGCTAACGTGTAGAATGTGTGTGGGGTCTATAGTTGCACTATATGTAATTCGATTTCTGTGCTGCACGATAGTTGTTGAGCTACGTGTCTACCTTTAGGGTACTACCCCCTGGTTTGTTTGAAACGTTGTGGTATAGAGGTAATTATATGAATGAGATGAACAAGTGTTTTTATGTATCTCGTATTTGCGGGCTGTGAAAGCTAATGTGAGTTGGTCAGGAGGTGACATTTGGGTAAGGAAAAAGTGCTCGACTGTCTCACTACAACACTGATAACAAACCAAACCCACTCGTGGTAATTACCTCAGGAAACCTATGTTTACGCCCACATCTTGTGTGACGGACCGTATGTCAAGGTCTCGTCTGCTGATAGCGCATAGTTCTTGCACTATCATGTGGTGTTATCTTGGTGTCGTACCAAGAATGGGATAATTGCATCACTACCAGTTGCACTCCACCAAGGTGATTCAAAATAATCGAAGCTTCACAGACGAGGAGTTGACATCCATAGAGCATAGTTCGTTCCTTCCACCCAACTATACTACCCATTCAGGTTTCCCAATCTACAGATTGACTGCTACCTCGGCTGTTGTACTGTAACCAATGCTTTTACCTGAATGGCCAGTTTAAAGTGACTCTTCAAACTTGCATCCTCTAATGCGGTAGACCACAACCACTCAATGTACGGCTAAGTTGTTTGGTTACATTTCAATCGCAGCCCACTCCTCATATAGCGAAAAGCACGTAGACTTCTGCATGCCTAAACACGTAAAAAGGCTCTGCCACCCTCATTCCACCAGTAGCTGCTGTGCACTCTCGCTACTTGTGGATTCATAGGTGAACATATTTGGTCAGTTGCCCTCTTTGACATATCATCGTTGCATACCAGGGGCATGATCTGGCATACCGCAAAACTATTCATTTTCGATGTTGATAGTGCTGTGAATTGTTACTTTCGTGTGGACTTGTGTGGAAGATCTTAGTCTTCTCACCTATAATTGTACCTCTGACACAATACATATCCGCTGCACTGTTGAACGTAGGTCTTGTGTCGATGCGCTTTGTTGCTTGATGCCTTCGTCTACCTTTGTGTATTTTACCGGCCTGTAGGAACAGACTTAGCATAACGGATACCGAGACATCGACGCGGAATACTTGCTCTTAAGTTCTAGAAATCCATTTCTATCAACTTGCTCGGATTACTAACCTAGTACACGGATACCTTTCGGATGCATACTAGAAGATGAGCTATTACCGAGACTAAAGATATGGTTATTAGACAAATATCTTAGACAACTCAGAAGGCCGTTATTGTCACGCCCTTCGGTTATCTCTTAGAATTTTCCTCAGATTAGCCAACGCGTAAGCGGGCTGATGCCGACGATATCATTTCATGGACGGTTTTGACGTTGATACTACAGAAATCTAAGATCATTACCAATACGACGGAATTAAAGGTAGACTATATCAATTTGATAGACGGAGAAGCATGTTGAAGCACATCGCACTTCCTGATGCTCACCCAATAAGTACTGAGGACAGCGAACTTACAACGATGAGTTTGAAGCTCGGGGATCGTCAAAATGTTCTGTGTGCAGTTTGTTTGAGCGTTTGCAGGCTTGAGCCACAGCCCTCGGAAAATGCTGCCCTTAGAACGAGCATACTTGTTGCATCCATGCACGGTGCCACGTGTCTTTTCGCGCAGCATGACACATGAATGGGACTAGTACGTCAAAGTTACTGCACATCAGTGGATTATCACCGACCAGTGGTGGATTCCCATACAAAACGCTGGTGCAGCGGAGTGTCCCTCCTGATCGACTCCATTCAGGCAGTTCGTAGAAGGCTGTTGTGCGGGTAAAACACTGATTGCACAATTCTGGTCTACTTGCAATTAACCAGTGGTGTTTGCTAACCCCGCTACATCCTCTATTTGTTTTCCATCCTCGCTTGTGAATTGTTTGCATCAGATTGGCTGCACCACTGCAAGCATCCGTTTGTCTTCAGAATGGTTTCCTGAAAAGTATTACTTTCGATATCAAAGAAGATATCGTTCCATAGTCGTTTACCGCCATCTATACACAAGTGGGTTTGGTGGGACGCCATACTTGTTTTATTGTACCAAGGACCCATCAGTTATCTGCCATGATCGATCTAGTATACCTTCCCCTTACAGGTACGACGCCGATCGTCACCCGAGAGGTCAGCCACCAGTCAATGCTGTCAATGTTGCACGACACAGAGCAGTCGCATTATCCCATTGGAAACCACATTCACTTGGCCTTTCAGCCTGAAACGACAATTTCTGTGAGTCGTTTGAGCAGTATCCAGATGGTATTGAAGCATTTGTCTTCACTTCACCTTTGTACTCTACGCTTTTTACCTAAACCCTATGCCAAGCATGATTGGTTTGCACAAGGCGATTGTTTTCGAAAACCCACACACACTATGGTAGCCTTAAGTGGTACCTCGGTTATTGCAATACATTTAGAGAGCATGATGTGTGCAAGCTTACGAGTCCAACAAGCATCGTTGATCCAAAGTAATAAAGCTTCACCTAATGTATGAATCGAAGTTGGCGGCAGCTGTGGACAAGAGTCGCTCAGCAGGGCTATTGACTTGGACTTGCGTCATGAAGCGTTATCGAAGATGTCCTGTCGCGAGCAATTATATCGTCATTCAACCACTGATTTATTTAGAAGATGTATAACCTCATATGTCTCACTAAAAACAGGTGATTTGTGCTCTAGTCGCAGGTGTAATTAATCAGTTGCACTTGGATTCTGACAAACGAGTTCACCCCGCGTTCCAGCGTGTTCCGAATGTAGGTGGGCAAGTATGTCTACCGATTCAGTCGCATTGGATAAGTTGAGTATGTAACCGTAAATGAAACTATTCAGCCGCTTTTCTGCTGCTTAATTTGCTTATTTGGTTCCAAAATTCAACGGTAGCGATTACCTGGATGCTAGACGTTCATTGCTACTATACTCACGGTCATTTTTTCGTTTTACACTAAGCACCCATGGGTTCTGGCTTAAGCTACCGACAATGTCATCCAATCCTTTCCCTTCAAAAATTTTTAACAGAGTAGGAACAACAAACATTTCTGCGGAATATGCTGAATTCAGCATAATCCGTGTATTCTCTTCAGCCGCTTACATACAATGGGTGGAAATTTCAAACAATTTGAAGTAATAATTCAATAGCAGAAATCGATGATTAGTTGCGTTGGCTAGCCTGTCTTGTGTGACCAAGGCAAAGCAAGATTGCTTACAAACTCAAGTAGTTTACATAGATTAAGCTTCAAACGCCGGATGGCAGAAGCCTCAGCAAAACGCAACAACTTGGGGTTCCTCTGTCTGTTGATGACCATGAAGGTTTTGCGGGGATTCTTGCACATCGAGCGGTCGAAAAAGTGCTGGGCAACGACAATGATATTCCAGATTATCGGACCCACCTAGGTTTGGGCGATGGAAGTCTCCCAGGAGTAAACAACAAGCGCTTTACGCATTTCATACAGATGTTTGCTTTTGTACTGAGAGAGGTCGCACTGGTATCTGCGGTTATGGTAATGGCATTTATGGCCTCGCTTTTACCCATTTAAATGTGTTCCTTTCTTATCATATGGATACAGTCATCTAGCGGACCCGGCACAATCCTAAGATGGTTACCCATCAGTTTAATCCATACACATCTGAGATCATTATGGCTGATATAACGGAGATGAACGCCGCAATTAGGGTGTTGGGTGCTGCGGTGCACTGCAACAGCAGTAAACGAATTTGATTACGGAGTTTTACTAATCTGCAATGAGGCAAACTTGCACTAATACTAAGCCCCTTATAGCTACCTCAGTATATATCGCTCCACTATCCAAGTGTGGTGAGCATCCTCATTAGCTGAAGTTGGGAAACATACTACAACTATTGTACCGGAATACATAATGATTTAAGCGAAACGCAAGATACTAAGCACTATATGGTACAAAATAAACAAGCAACACACTACTTAATAACAGATTATGCCTCAAGGGGGATAGCTATCGTGATTGGAGGAGAAAGATAAGTAGGATGGGTAGGAACAGAGAAACTCCCAACGCAAACGCTATTGGGGTCGGCTCCTCGCCATGTCAACAACTGTATCCAACCAAACATGTTCATCGTCCTTCGGACCCCATCCAGGCAGTCCGAACACATCAACCAACGCCAACTTCGAAGTGACGGACTTCATTACTCTTGATCAATTCATCTCTTGACCTCCCCTACTCTTCTTCTACCTAGACCCCCGGCGCACAAACAACGCAGGTCGCGGGAGTCGGTGTACTGGCATGCACTACACGTGGCCCAGCCATCGGGGCCTGGTGCTTGACATACTAGTGCTGGGCGGTTCACTCGCTGTTCCTGCACCAAATACGTGACGCCGAACACGCTCGTTGCTCATGCAGCGCTCTTACTAGCCAAAACCTAAGATGCGAAGACAACGATGATGTCTCTCTATCTGATGGGCCAGGTTTCGCAACCGTACATTAGTGTTGAGTGGATGACTGCATTGTAAACTCTACCCTTCAGGGCGAGAGTGATATTGCTCTAGCGCCACTGGTGGTTAGGTTGGGCAAAAGCGCCTCGAGCTTTTGCTATACGGTTCGTGACCTCATATCTGATCCTACGGGCGCTAATCCAGTAATTTGAATTCCTGAACGACTTCTTACTGATCACCACCAAGACTCAGCGCAGTGGTGCTCCCTGCCACTCTTGGAGAAGGACTTTGCGTTTCGGAGGTGCGAAGCATAGCCCGAAACGACTGACAGCCAATGCTAATGTGTTCAGTGCTACTTGTCACGTTTGTGACCTGTCACGTATAAGGGTAATGTCTTTGGCGTACTACAAATCAACTATTCGCTCAATGGGCAGCAACTCACGCCTTGTAGGTCGTGCCCAATGGACACAGTCCCCATGACTTCGTCGATGGAAAAGTTAACTAGCAAAGCTCCCACCGGGCATCTTTGTCTCACTCCGACAGTTTGCCATAAGACCTCACTCCGCCCAAACTGTACGCGTAAAGCGCTATGATAATGTTTACATATTTTTTTGACACACCTTTTCTGAGTAGTCAGTTTCAAATAGCACACTGATCAACTAAATCGAAGGCACCTTTAATGTTCTCGAATACAACCAGGGTGTACCAACAATTGAGGTGATTTAAAAATGTGATGAAATCCGGCTTGCTCCTCAAGAAACTGGCTTTTACGGGTATCAGTGAGTACATAAAAAACGAAAGTGACAATTGGGACCAGACTTGTCCCTTTACGATTGCCGCATTCGGAACGTAAGCCCCCTTTGATACTTGGGACTATAACGATGCGGCTTCAGTCTACTGCGACAGCTTCCTGCTCCCACAGCTTCATTACTATGTTGTGCAGGCCATTTATAAGAACAGATCCACTGCATGTAAAGTGAGTTGGAGCAAATTTATCTACTCCGACTACCTTATTCAATTTAAACCGTCTGAGCTCATGCTCAACTTCTGCGCGTGAAGGCGGGTCCAGGGTGACGGCACAGGGAGAATGGCGATCAATGGCCGAAGGAGAAGCTAGTAACTCTAGCTGATTAAGCTGTTTTTCAGACGTTTTGGTAAACTGTGGATTGGCCGCCCATTGTCGTCACGTATGGTCTCGCTATCGCCAGGTCTCCTTCTGCCCGCTTCACGTATTAGACGGAATAACCTTCGACGGGGACTAGGGGCAGTGCACTTTTCTACCTCCGATGCACGATGAGACCACCAGGCTTCTCGGTCTCTCTCCAAGCCAGCATGCAGTTCCGTCCTGATGGCTTTGCGAGTGCCATTGTGTTCACTTCTAGTCGAGAGAGTCGTTTTATTGTATAAGAAGCTACCTTCACTCCAACCCAAAACCTGAACGGTCAGGAGACTCAGCCTATCTGCCTTCTAACCACTGAGCTATCTTGTATGAGTGGCCTTGAAGGTGCAAAAAGTATCACACAGCATAGCTCTATTGATCACGGAGGCACACAAACCATCGCACTACATTAAGGTCCAGTCTCGTCGCGATGGTGATGAACACAGGAACTTTGACTTGTTTCTCCTACATTTTCAAAGATCTGGTCTGATCGGACACCGAAGTGCATGATTGGGAACGAAAGCATCCAGGCTGTGTTCTCTGATGTGGTCTCGGTCGAATCAGGGCTAAATAGCCAGTAATATTCACCTTTCTCGCTAAGCATCACTATGTTTAACGAGAAATGCATCGTTATAAGTGGGGTGGCCAAGTGATAACTTCGTCGACAGTATTGAATGTCCTTACTTTGACGTTGGTTTCGACTGGAGCCTCTCGGCTCCCTGGTTTTGGAAGGACTATGAACTCCTTTGGCTGTATACAGTTGCCGATATGGCTAGGAGCCGATCTCAGTGGCGTTCGAGTTGTGAGTTTCTTTTTTCCTTCCTATTCCTCTTGACCGCCCACTCCAACCGCGATCTCATTTCCTAGCATAATACAAATTTTGCATGGTAGCCGGCTGGTAGCTTTCCGGAACGACGTCCATCCAGTACTGATAGCTCAGCTGGCTTGCACCTGTTGTGTATTTTCTTTTCCTTTCTTATGTATTACGGCACAGTAACTGAGGTGTTTTTCACCTCCAGCTAATGTGTATAATGATGATAATGATGGTGCATCGTTATAAGAAGGATAGTGATGCTCTTCATTCCAGCAGTGAGTGGATCCTCTATCCGAACCCTGACATCTTTCCCCAATCCAACCAAGCTCAGATAACCTTCGGAAATGCGAACACCAACCATGCTCTGTTTACAATCCTCGCATTAATGTACTTTAGGACATTTTCTTCCATGTTCTCCCTCTCCATGCATCATTACTCGCATTCCCCCTGCTATGTTTGCCCTCTGAAGGATACTGCGCATTTCCCATGTGCTAATTTCGTGTATCGAGCCTCCCTTCCACGTTTAACTCTTTCGTGTCGCTAGCACGTTAGTCTAGGTGAAACCAATGGAGGGATCTCATTCCCACAAGTTTTGCGCTGTGCGATGACTTAAGTGTGGCTATCCCGTGCCATTGGTTCACGTGTTATATAATCACGCCTCGTGAGGCGCAGTCACTTGTATCGTATCCGTCTGAAGCCTGTTGTTGATTATTGAAACGAATTGTCCATTGTCACATTGCTGTTGTCATTGAAAGCGCAATCGTTGTTTTTTGCTTTTGGCCGCTGCGCCATCGCTATTAGTACCGCTATTCACTTCAGGGCTTATTCATTATTGCCGGTGGAAACGCGTTTACTCAA